TTCACCAATACCTGAGATAATCATAGCTTCTTAAGTCTCTTGATATGCAAAATGATATGTAATGCAATGTTTTATGAATGCATATGACAATGGAACAATAATAAGATCAACATCACAAATCCTGCAAGACAAGAACACAAGGTATCTTTCCATCGGGTGAGCAATCTACTGGTTCGAGAGGGCGTTCCAAAAGGCTTTTCAAACAAAGTCCTATGCACTAACCCTCAAAAGTTTCCCATCATAACGACTACTCGTAAGACGGTACTCCTTTCAAAAAGGATGAACACAGCGTCATGTTTTAGTGACCTTTGGAATAAGGTTCTACAAAAGGTCCTCAGAATCGCGGACTCCCAAGTTGAAGATAAGAACGTCATTACGACTACACGTAAGACATAATTATTCCAACGGGGTCTCATCTGAGCGGTGGAATTCGATCCAACTCAACGAGTCCTAAGTCTCGCAAATCAGAAAGAAACCACCTCCTAACTTAGTGCATACTCGAAAGCTCGGGTAGAAAGCTTTATCCTCACAAACCAAACCAATATGAGCCCAAGAAGTTAGAAAGAAACATAACCATAAAATAAATAGCAAAACAAATAAAGCACAAATGCGACAAACAAAATAGGCGTGGCTTGCTAGGTGGTCCCCAGCAGAGTCGCCAGCTGTCGCTACTCGAAAAATGCATCGCGCAACGACGAGGAGGCGAAAAGAAAAGGACAGAAGAGTCGCCACCGAACTTTATTTATCCCATGTGGGGAAAGGAAAATATCGAGAAAACCTTAAGAAAATAAAGGATAAGATGGTCTCGCAACCAAGAACGGGTTCGGAAGCCGGTTATGCGAGGGGAAGGTATTAGCACCCCTCGCATCCATCGTACTCGATGGGAACCTTTTGTTTGTCGATGTGTGAATTTATTTGCTTAGACATTGTGCTATAAGAAGTGTGTTTCAGAGGGGTAAAGGGAAAGGTTTAAAAACGGGAAATAAAGGGTGACGAGGGAAAGAAAGGAGAAAGAACAGACTCGGTAGGACTTCGCGGTCCTAGGCCTACGTATTCTCAACAGATATGAGAAAGTCAGAGTCGACGTAGTTCGGGAAACTACGGGTGATAGGGGGGATTGTGCTCGTCAAGGATTGTGGCCCTTGTGCCTACGTATTCTCATCTGGTATGAGAAATCAGAGCAGCCGTAGTTCGGCCTACGGTGTGTTGATGTTTTTATGGATGATATTATCGTGCGCATTCTAGCAGTTAGGTGTTTTGCTGCTCGCTCGTTGGAGACTTAGGCATTACCTGTTTGCGGTAGAACGGACGTAACATATCCTTTTTGAAAGATTGATTAGTTTTCGCCGCGCGGGGCAAGAAGTCACGTTTGATTGATTGGATCGTTTTTAGGGGGCGAGACACGTCCTCGGATAGTAACCCCTACGGGTAGTACCCAATTCTTTATCTCGAAGTTTTTGTTGTAAAAGGGTGTGGCGAACGAGACGTCTTCGTATTGAAAGACGAGCGTCGAAACCACCCTCACTACAGTGGGCATCCCTACGCTCGGAGAAGAAGAGGTCTACACCCAATCCTCTCTCTTTAATTCAATGCAAAGAGAACTTCGTTCTCTTATTAATGATGATTTAGGTTTTGAATGGTGAGTGCTTTGCGACAGAGAACCCTACGGTAAACGTCAGCACTCGGGATAGGAGAAGGCCTACGCCTAACCACTCCACGACCATTCAAGCTTTTGTTACGAAAAGATTTGAAAATGCACTCGGTACAGGACCGAGGTTTTAGGTGAGAAAGGTTACGGAATAAAGTTAAAGAGGGAGAGGTGGATAAAGTCGCGCCTTCGTTTTGAAAGACGAATATCAAGACCACCCTCACTACAGTGGGCATCCCAACATTCGGAGAGGAAGAGGTCTATACCTAATCCTCTCTTTTAATTCAATACAAAGAGAAAATAATTTATTATTGAAAGTATACTCAGTACGAGACCGAGGTTTTATGAGGAAATGTTGGAAGCGCCTTTGTATTGACAGACGAGCATCGAGACCACCCTCACTACAGTGGGCATCCCTACGCTCGAAGAAGAAGGGGTCTACACCCAACCCTCTCGTTTAATTCAATACAAAGAATTGATTTTAGGGAGATGAGATTTGAAAATGGATGGGAAACGTCTTCGTATTGAAAGACGAGTGTCAGAACCACCCTCACTACAGTGGGCATCCCAACACTCGGAGAGGGAGAAAGTCTACACTTAATCCCCTCTTTTTAATTCAATACAAAGATAATTTGATTTTGAAAATTGTTTGACAAAGTTTTTGAATCGAGTCGGGACAAGTAATGAAGAGAGAAAAGAGGTGGTCTCAGATCCAACATTACTCATCAATAATTTGACTGGTAATGAATTACGGAGGTCTCGTCATCGACCTAAAAAGAGGAAAATGGGACAGAATGTCCAATAACAAAAGAGAAATGAATTTTAACTTCTACAAAAAAGTAATTGCCAAACTTCTAAATAATATATAAACTTGAAATTCTGAAACTATAAAAATGAACTATCTAAAAAAATAATATTCAATATGTATTCTAAAGAAAAGAAAATTAAGGATTATATAAAAGCTAATTAAAACAAAATGTATATATAAAATGAAAATAGTTTTAGGAAAATAAAATATTAACTAAATAAATTAATAAATTTACAAAATACAGTATATAATACATATATAAAATAACTAATAATAATAATATACATAATTAATTAAATAAAACATAAAAATGAATATGAATATGGGAGGGGGTATGCGGATACACAGGGAATATGTAAAGAAAAAAAACAGTGGGCTTTCAACCCATCAACATCAGTTAATAAAAATGAAAACAGAGGAAAAGAAACTCCTCTCCTTCGTACGACATATCCCAGCCGTTCAACCTCACTTTCACCTTCTTCTCAAAATGAAAGAAAAACAGTCTCTCTCAAAAACAAATAAAAAATCAAACTTCCCAACTCCTGTTTATACAGTTTCGGTTAGGGATTTGGTGGTTCAGATTGGGAAAATGGTTGAGATTTGGTTCGGTGAAAAGATGAAGTGTAAAAAGTGATTTGAATCAGGTCGAAAGGGGTGAGCTGTGTGGTGTTGCGTGTTGTTGTTTCGCGGCGGAGATTGAATTTGGGCGATGGTGACGTTGAGAGTTGTGGGTTTTGCTGGAGTTTCAACGATGATGAAGAACGTTGGTTCGCGGTGGTGGGTCAGAAAATGGAAATGGGTTATGAGGTTGAGAATGGTTTGTTGATGGGTTAAAGATGAGTTGGAGAAATGGATTGACGGTAACCGGCGGTGGAAGTCGGTTGTTGAAAGAGGGTTCGTTTGGTATTGATATTGTTTGAGTTGATGAGTTTGTGAGGCGATGGTTGGAGTTTGAACGAACAAGGTGAGAAGAGTTTCAACTTTTTTTTATGTTCACGTTTGAGTGCTGGGTTTATGATCTTGGTAAATGAATTTCGATGTTGTTAAAGGTTGTGAAGGGCGCTGGTTTCGAAAACGGAGGGGGGAGATTTGTTTTGATTTCTGTTTGGATGAAACGGTTGATGGCGGTTTGAAGATGATTTATGGGAAGTTTATGAAGCTGATATTGTGTTCTGTTTTTGTTTGAGTGAAGGAGTTTGAATGGAGGTTGTTTCTGAAGTGGTTTTGGAAGTTATGGTTGAAATGATGAAGATGGTGATGATAGTGATGCGTTTAGAAAGCTATTCAGAACTGGAAGTTTGTGTGATTGTGAATGAAGTTTGATTGTTGAACAAAGATGAAGGGTTTGAATGTGTAAAGAGGGTTCTTTATACTCAAAGCCAGGGAACAAGTCAAACCAAACAAAACAGATCAAGATCAAGATTATGAAGACAGTAGGAGTAACGGAATACTTACAGAAGAGTACCACCAGATTGTTGATGCAGAACACAGGTGAGCTTCTTCTTCAATCTCCTTTTTTTTTAGTTCTCTTTGAGTGAAAGCAGCTAGGGTATCCTCTGTAGTCTCTTCCTTTTAGCTTTTATAGTGAGGTCAATTAGGTTTAGCAGACCAATTCTTGAGGCCCTGAAACCCTCTGCCCCTTAGGCTTTAGGTTTGGTCTGCTACTAACCTGTCCTATTTCCATTTCTGTGCTAAGACTGTGGTGCTGTAATTGCCTACAGCTGCTCTGTATTTGCCATTTTTGTGAATGTGTTTCTGCTGTCTCATTTTTTCATGTCCCTGAATTTATTTATTTAAATTGAAAATATCTGATATATTTTAACCTGCATTTTCACTGTGGTATCACAACAATTTTACTGATACATTTAATTTCTTTGCAGGTTTATCATCTTTAGCCAAAGAGCCAAATTCCATAGCTTCCTCAAAAGTCCAGTTTCAATTTGCATCTACGCGGATAATAATCTGGCAACCAACTTTCTTTCTCACTTATTGTATTAATGTGGCATCTTGCACTGATCAATTGCTTGGTTTGCCCCACAATCCAGCAGCTCTGGAGATCGGTCTGTGGGAACAAGCCGCATTTCTTTGGATCATCGCCCTTCAAGATGTTTCTTGTTTACAAAGAACTTGAGGAAGGTGATAGTATCAGGACCAATCTCACCTACCACCAGCAAAGCCATTACCATGACAATGGTTTCTAGCCTTGGTGGCATCACCACACAATGCTGCTGCTCATAACCCATATCATCCAGGTAAGAGCTACATTTTGACACCTAAAATATGTGTCACCTGTAATAACCAGTTAATGTTTTACATTTTACGTGTATATACAGTGCACAATAAATTTATAGGTAGTGTAGTTACAATATGACATAATTGAAGCACAAAATATATCTCAAACCCTACAGATGCCATTTTCAACATAAAATGGCTGGCTTGCAAGGATTCTAGTTCTAGATTTTTAAAGCATCAGGCAAAGTCGAATTTTCCCAAGGCTAGACTATATCAGATTTTCCGTTATTAAACTAGGGCACCAGATTTCATTTAGTTACTGATCCATCTCCTTTTTCTGGCAGGTCGCTCTTGTTTGACATCCGACTCTACTGGATTTTCAGTTTTGGCAGAAGGCAGAGGTTCACTCTCTAGCCTCTTGATAACCTGGGCTTCTTTTTCACTTGGCATTGGGAGCTTGAACCGCTCACTTCGTTTCTTCAGCCTCTCAACTGTGTCCAGATGCTGATCCCCGGATTCCTTGGAATCACCATCCCTGCTTTCCATGTCTACAGAATCCCTTGCTTCAGCCATCAAGAGTTGTTGGTTATCATCATCGACTGTTTTAGCAGATTCATCCACAGGTTTCCCAACTTCAGAAGACCTGCCATTATTATCTTTGTCAATGTCTTTGAACTTCAAGGAAGAAGATGACTTGTTGATACTGAAATCTCTTTCTTTATGGCTTGTCCAGCGCTCCAGTTTCGAACGTCCTCTGTAAGAATCTTGCTGTTCGTCATCAGAGGAAATGCCGTCCTGGTGTTTCCTGGATAGGCGATGCCCTTGAATATCATGCCCAGCACGTTCTTGATCAGCAAATTCTTTGGAGCCCTTCTCATTTGATGGACCATTTGGATTTTCTAGACTTTTCTTGGACATTCCTAAACTATTATGGTCACTAATATCACGCTCTTTGCTTTTCCTTGAGCCCTCTTTATGTTTCCTCTCGTGAAGTCTTTGGCTATCTGAATTATTAGTAACGCGATCACTACGGCTACTTGACCTCTCCTGCCTAGATCGTCTTTCATCAGCAGTAAATTGATTCACACGGGAGAAAGTATCATCCCGCCCCTTAAGATGTGAACTTTCTTCCTGAATTCGATCCCTTCTCTTCAGTTGGTCACTGTGTCGCACTGCTTCTCTAGATTGGTGTTCATCTTTAGCACTAACATGACCAACCCATGTTATTTGATGACAGTGGGGTATTCTCCATATACACATTATTGCTAGACCCATCAGGAAAAGGTTGTGCAGTCTCGCCGACAGTGAATACATCAGCCAAATGCATCGGAAGTGAAGAAGTTATATGCCTCTGGTCTCCAGGTAACCGTAATCCTTCACCGACATTGACGGCAGCTCTGAGTAGGTTTTCCTGTTCTTGAATTTTGGCAATTATCGGAAGTGCAGGAATTTGGTAGCTTTGAGTGACTGCTTTCTGAATGAACTATAGAGCCAAATGAAGAAAGTTTTAATAGTGTTCCCTGTGTTTTAGGGGCCTTACTGTCTTGCGAGCTGATACTTCTCCAGCTAGGAGTTTGCAAGGATACTGATTCCGCGGTTTTCTTAAGTTTAAAATAACAGTCATCACAAACACGATATGTCTTGCTGGAATTTGGAGCAAGGGAAGCCTTCATAGGTTTTTTTTTGCTGGTGCATGAATTGCAAAAAAATCAAGTCCACAGTTATAACAATTATGACGTTTTCTTCTGAAATTAAATGGATTACGACAGCCTGAACATGCAGAATGGTCAACACTCGGTATCCATTTATGAAGGCAAACAACAGCAGTAAAGTTTGAACCACAAAAAACACTCTTCACTTGCTTATCTTTTAAAAATTGGGCAAGTGTGGGCTTATTCCTGTGACTGTTGTCCTTATCTTTATTCTTCTCCTTTTTTCTTTGCGGATTTATTCAACTTGATATTGTCTTTAGTGCAGGTATGGATCAGCCTCATGCCTTAATTATGTTATGATTGCCGCGCGACATTTCTGTACTGTTCATCTCGTGCAAACCTTTCGAATGGCAGCAAGTTGGTGCGCCGAGTGTTGTATGAGTTTGCCCATTTGCGCTGCGGTTTTACTTGTCATTTACGAAACTCCGCAGGTTGACGTGGAACTGATTGCGACTGATACGGATTTTTTTTATTTAGCAGGGTTTGGTCTGTTGAGGAGTGTAGCAGTGTGGTTTGGCAGCTAGTTGCAGTAGGTTGTGTGTGGGCTGATACGATTTTTGCAGTAACAATGCGAGTGGCTTGTGACAGGTAAGGGGCCTTGCGTACAGAACAACATCATGTTGCTTTTGTGAAAAATCTCGTAGATGGTATTTGTTTTACCAATTTTTCTTCTTTTCTTCTTCAGAGTTTCTTTTCTATTGTGTTATACTGCTGCCTATTTATTCAACCTTTTCATCACAGAGTAATAGCTGCGTGTACGATTCCTTCAACGGTGAGATGGGATTTGAGCTACCCCATAATACGGCTGTTGCGTTTTACACAAAAGGGACGAGCTGCTTGGTTTTCTTTCACTGCAGGTCGCGAGGTCGGAAACGAGAGAAGTTGGAGGGTCTTGGTGGTATACGGTTACATTGCAAGCTTTTTGTTGTTGGTTCTGGTGCGCTGCAGGCAGTGGATTCTTGGCCCAGTGATTTGAGTAACCATAGGTTTTGCATAATCAACTCTAGTGCTGTAGAAACAATGAGCTCTTACCCTCTTTTCCCTTTGGCATATGTACTTTACAATTTCTCATGAACTCATACATTTGTAGCAACTTTGGAGAACAATTCCTCATATTTCTTGTAATGAACATGATTTTTTTATTAATTTTGCTTGAAATGCACTCTTATCCCTTTTTGAATTTTCATTTTGCTTGCACTGTTGTTCTTGTAATAATATGAGCTCCCTCATTGTAATGTGGGCCTTGATGAATCCACATTTTCCTTTGAAAACTTGTGTTGAAATACTGCTCAAATGTGTAATGGTTAAAAGCCAGCGTGAATTAGTTGCCATCAGGACTTGTGGAAAGGTTGGCCTATCATATGGGGGTATTATTGTTTCTTTTTTCTTGGTGTATTGATTTAAGACTTAAAACATTGACTTGGGCAATACAATCTGGGCTGGGGCAATGAGGTTGTGGCCTCACGTTTTTGTTTCCCATCATAACTTGTTTTTAATCTTGAAGCACTTGAAACATAACAACAACAAGAAATCCTATTTGAAACCACTTGAATTATAATGTGACTAATTTACCTTTAATTTGAAGCAAATTAAATCCAACTTATCACAAACTGATTTTGAAAACTGAACAACCTTAAACATGAATTGAGGAGAATGAACTATAATCATTGCATTGGACCAACATGACCTGGGACCAATTTGAAACAAATTAAGTAATAGCCGAGAACAAAACTTGAACCAAGTCAAGTTACAATTTGATAAATGAACGACACAAGATCATCCTGGAGTATGACTTTGAGAATAAATCTAAATGAGCCCTGAATTGATTCATCTCAAGCTATATTTTTTTGATTTTCTGAATGAGAGTCAACGGGTGAATATACAAATGAAAAATATAAATAGGTAGGACAAATTTTGGGGTACAACACTCATTAAAGATGACAATGCCAAAGATGAGGATGTAATCTGGCATGCGAGCTATGCCTTAAAGGAACCCTGAAGGTAAAGCCATATCCTGTGGTGCTACTCCCCATGAACTAAAGCAAAAAACCTCAAACGTCTATACCCAAATACCAATAACAAAAACAACTTGAACCTCTGGGGTGAATAATGAAACTTTTGAGAAAACGACCCATGGAATGAATTCAGAATCTTTATAATCCAACGGTCACACCTAGAAGTACCGGACTGTAAGGATCTATACCTAACAACACCACGCCTGCACAAACTGGTTAGTCGCGAAAAAAAACATAGTCAAATAACGATAAAAAAATATGCGCAAAAAGAGGTGGGATCTTATGGTCAAAAATTAGGGTGCGACAGATGCCCCTATTTAAGTTACTCCTATCCGGAGATATGGAGATTGAAATCTCCGTCTCGACAAGATAGGAGGGACTTAAATATAAACACTGCACAAATTTTTGGCCCTAAGAAAGCCACCGAATGCAAATGATATGCAACGATATGGAAATGCAAGACAGACGGGTCCTATGATGAAATGATGCCACAGGGGAAAAACTAGACACGACACAGGCTCAACAAAACGAGACTCCGCGGGGGAAAATTGCCAATCACAAAGTGTCTGTAAGTATATTGTGAAGACCTTGGAAGAGAAATCTTCTTGAGGAATCTGCTGTATAGGTCAAATGTAATTGATTCGAGATATCAACTGGAGAAATCTATTGTCAAGACTTGTAACTGTAATCGAGAATACTTTCGCCAAAGTATCTACTACTAAGATCTGTAAGGAATCTACTGCCGAGATTTTGTGTTGAAGTCTGTTGGAGAAATACTTCTGATAAAGTCTTCTGGAAGTCTACTGCCGAGATTATCCAGGAAATGAAATAGAACTACCTACTGCCGAGGTCTTCTGGGAATCTACTACCGAGATTAACCAGGAACTGAGATAGGACTACCTACTGCCGAGGTCTTCTGGGAATCTACTGCCGAGATTAACCAGGACTGAAATAGAACTACCTACTGCCGAGGTCTTCTGGGAATCTACTACCGAGATTAACCAGGAAATGAAATAGAACTACCTACTGCCGAGGTCTTCTGGGAATCTACTGCCGAGATTAACCAGGAACTGAAATAGAACTACCTACTGTCGAGGTCTTATGGGAATCTACTGCCGAGATTAACCAGGAAATGAAATAGAACTACCTACGGCCGAGGTCTTCTGGGAATCTACTGCCGAGATTAACCAGGAACTGAAATAGAACTACCTACTGCCAAGGTCTTCTGGGAATCTACTGCCGAGATTAACCAGGAAATGAAATAGAACTACCTACGGCCGAGGTCTTCTGGGAATCTACTGCTGAGATTAACCAGGAACTGAAATAGAACTACCTATTGCCGAGGTCTTCTGGGAATCTACTGCCGAGATTAACCAGGAAATGAAATAGAACTACCTACTGCCGAGGTCTTCTGGGAATCTACTGCCGAGATTAACCAGGAACTGAAATAGAACTACCTACTGTCGAGGTCTTCTGGGAATCTACTGCCGAGATTAACCAGGAAATGAAATAGAACTATCTACTGCCGAGGTCTTCTGGGAATCTACTGCCGAGATTAACCAGGAACTGTAAGATGTTCAAATGATTGTCGTTGTAGACTGTAGATGTCATTGTATACTGTAGTTGTCGTTGTAGACTGTAGTTGTCGTTGAACTTCTTGGCTGTGAGCCATAATATGTTGTAAGTTATAGAACTTTGTGGATTGTGGAACTTCGGCTGTAAGCCATAATGTACTGAGAGTTTGTAAAATTTCGCCGGGGATCTTCGGGAGAGATGTGAGCCGGTTGAATTGTAATGTATGTCTTCTCAGATAAAGAGATACTATTGCGATAAACTTCTTCGACTTCTTCGGGGAGATGTCGCTGACGGAAGTAAACTTGTGTGATGAAACTCACTGGGGAATTCATTCCTGAGGAATGTCTTAGTTGTTGTAAAAATGTGCGAATTCTCAAATAAAGAGAAATGTCTGTAACTGTCTTCTCTGATGAATCAATAATGTTGAGGGACCCAGTGAGGGTAAATGATCTGTCTTGTGAAAACTGTCGTTTGTCATTTTGAATAGGATCCTGATCAAAACGGGTTGCTCAAATAAAGAGATAGATGTTCGAGAAAATCCTGTGATGCTATTGTTGAAGAAATGTCTGTTTATTCTTCCCGGGGAATAGAGTGCAAAATAAATGCACACTTGATCCATGTTCAAAGGTTGGAGACATTCACGATGTGATTGCCAAAAACCGAAGTTCGATTCGGGAAGTAGCCAAAAATAAACTGTCAAGCAAGACTTGTCCAATGAGGTATGAACTCAAATGGGATTGTACTAAAATAACCATCTTCCATGGGGATCGAACTCCATGGGGAAAATGAAACATCGTGCTCTTTCTACCTAGGGTCGACAAATCTATTTGGAGGGATAAGACACACCCAAACACCTAGGGATAACTATAGCCAAAGCGATGGAAATAGAACAAACACAAAGAATGCAAAGAAATGCACATGCTATGCTATCTACTTATATACTATGCGAATGCTTATGCTAACAAAACAAACA